TGTCCACACCAATCAGACGCCAAGTGAACCAGCCCCAAAGTCACATATAAGTAACGGTCACCTCCTCTCCCACTGACACAAACGCTCTCCCAAGACTGGCTTCGTCCAGCACCCGTATGGTGTTGTTGAAGGTACGTCATTCCCTCGTCTGGATTCAGGCGATATTTGGCCCACTCCCCCTTCCTTGACTAAGTGCATCTATTGTTAAGGTCTGTACCTCGTTTATTCTTCATGATTTATTAAATAGTACCGTACTACATTGTTGTTGTCATTGGGGGTTGACGTAAGCGCTACTACTAAATACACAGTCAGAGGAGGCAATAAACTCGAAACAAGGCTATTTCGGCAAAGATTGCTTTTGACAGAAACAATGGCATTCAAATATTCGCAAAATATGATTATGATTACGTATTGCATTCTGCGCCATGGTTACGTGTTGGACCTTATACTCCGAAAAAGAAGAGACAAGAATAATCCAATGCCAAGGTCTCTGAAGCTTAGTTAATTGGTTGCCCTTGGCGAGATATTTCGGGTGAATTAGGCTGTCCTATGAGTGTTTCCAAAGTTAGTAAAAAAATCTTAAACAGTATCGTCTGATACTTTCTGGAACACCGGTCGCAAATTTGAGTTCTTAATGTCGTTAGAGTTTCATAGCTGAACAATAGCATGACTGAACCTTAGTAAAACTACTACCAAATTAACAAAGAAAAGCCTTTTTATCTGAATTATTTTAGCCCAAAACGAAGCGAGCACATGTTTGCTTACTTGAAATCTCTTCTCCTTTTCACATTCAGGACCTGTAAACTGTGACGGACACCACTCGACTCTATATCCCCGGAAGAAGCCATTCACACTGGTCTCCTGCTGTTGTGTGATTACTGTCCACTGAAGAACAGCGCCAGTTGATGTGGCCTGGAGCACTGTCGGGGCAGACGGTATAACACTTGGCATGTTTTCGCCGGAGTAGCCCTGCGCGACAGTCGGAATGGCTGTACTCGTGCCCTTGTCATTCCGGCTTTGGATAGTTGCCTGGATTGAGCGTGTAAATGCAATAATCAAGTCTACGTTCAAAGTGTAAGTAGTACGTATTTTTAAGAACTCAAATTTACCTCGAACAGTTTGTAGGACTCGATCGGTTGCCTAATTTTGTTGGCGGCGGTGCCACTTTGGAAAACGGTGTATGTGATGCGGTCAGTGCGCCAGTCGCCAATGACTGTTGTATTCACGTCAGTGGGGCGAATATTGTTGCAGTTAAGGCAACGAACAGTCAATAGATACACAAGATTGTTGCCATAGTGTTCCACGTAGGGCATGGTCTATTAGGGTAAAAAGCAACAAAAAAATACCTGAGAAATCTATCCAGAAACCTCCAAAAACAAAAGCACGCGCGTAATTCACTGCCTATGAACAAAGAAGGGACTGTTTCGTGTGACCAAACACCAGGATCAATTCTACTGAAAGTGAAAAGTGAAAATGCGAAGCTGACAGTTTTACAAAACCTTTTTCCACCCTAACATGCCCTTACTAATGTTAATATGCTGCTCTTAAAATGGACATCCATTAGAGAGTTGATGGGAAAAAGGATGCCAGAGAGGACAATACGATGCACTATTAGCAAGGAAATTATTCTTACCGTTACATTATAGAGCTCAGAATGATCATTTGCTGCTTACATGAAAAACTGTAATACATCCACTTCCGAAAAGTGCAGTTAAGGGAGGTTCTGGTATGCCAAAAATGCCATCAACTAGTTTTTTGGTTACGAAATAAATTTACATTTTCTACAAATGATGCGAAGAAAACAATTTTTTAAGAAATGCGCTCCTTCGACAGAACTCTGTGAACCTTCTGGAAGACGAAATTGAATAAGAAAACCCACAAACTGAACTGAACCAATTTGAATTAAGATAGCTTTTTACCGAAGGAATCGTAGCATCCTCTTTATTTAGTCTGTGATTGTTTGCGGAAAAAAAGTTAAAATAATCGACACCTGTTGAACTGTGACTAAGCTAATTATTCTAGTGAAATATAAAATGAAAGAATCAGCTTC